AATCACTCCTGCTATGAAAGGCCTGTGCCTCCCAATATCACAAAAACAGCAGCAGTCCTCAAGACAGGAGGGGCTGGTCACAGAAACCAAATCAATACAAACTCCAACCCCCCCCAGCTTAGTCTGTGTAGCAGGATACTCAGAGTGAATGTTTATAAATGTCCATGCAAACAAACACTTTACAGCGAAGCAGGCATCTCCCTGTCAATCTTCCAGTGCGTCTCAGTATTTCCAGCGAATGCTACGAGACACTTAACCACAGCAGAAAATTAGCTCAAAGTGGCCCAGAGCAAACAAAGCAGGCAGGACTTCCACAGTCATGTGACTTTTAATAAAGTCTGTTTGGCCATATGAGGAGGAAAAAAAGTCAGCGCTTAACTATGAGATGAGGACTTATCCTGAAACAGGTCTGTCTGTATGCACTTTTAACAGTGACTTAGTCCAGCGTTCCACAGCTTTTCCGGTCCGTGACCAGTGTCTCAGAGAAGCACACAGAAACCAGCACTGACTGCTTACAGTCAGAAGCGAGCAGACTCTGCCAGGCATCACCCCGTCTGTCAGGCATCATCCCGTCTGTCAGGCATCATCCCGTCTGTCAGGCATCATCCCGTCTGTCAGGCTTCACCTCCTCTGTTCTGTAGCTATTCTGGATCTAAAGCTGCACTGTTTCATTTACTCTTCCTGAAGGAAGAAGCCCACGGAGAGATGGCTGGGTGTTCTCCTGATATGGATGGGATTCCAGGTCCCTTTGGGAACGCCAAGTCGTTTGGGTCCTACTGCACTGGACAAACCCCCCCCCAAACCATGACGCTGTCACGCCCATGCTAGACAGTTGGTATAAGGATCTTACAGTAAAACCCCCACATACAAGAGACCCCACGCTGCCAAAATGCTTCCACTTTTGGCTTCAGGGCTGAACATCATCATTCCAACACTGCTGAGATCACACAGAGTTTTCTCTGAAGTTTCAGATAACGTCCAGCAGGCCCTGACTGTGAAGCCATGAACCAGAGCCAAAGTAGAAAAGCTTGACTCTTCACGACACTTCATGGAAGTTGCTGAAGTTCCTGCGTCTTTCCTCAAGGGATTCTGGCAAGACAGACACTTCGGGGAAGTCTCCAAAATCACTACATTTGGAGAATATGGTTTTGACCGCAGTTTGGTGGGAGCATCAGGGTTTAAAAATGACACACTCTGTCAGCCATAACCATTTCCAGACTGATAAGCATTAACAAAAGGCCATTGGAAATTTTATCTGATCATGCCTTAATATTCCTCTAGAATCGGTCTCCTGAGAGCTCTATTCCTATGATAAGGGCCAAAACTAGTCTGAGACACACACTGTGTGGCGCCTACCTCAGTTGTAACATAAACATAATAAAGATGTATAACACTGAATATTTAAGCCACACACACACACACACACACACAGTTAATCATCAGTATATTAGCATTAGCAGTCTTGGTGTGTCTGGTAGATTTCTCAATAATATCAGTATTTATAGTAACCAGGATTATTCATCCAAGTTGTGGCCATTCCAGGATTACTTACCAGCAGGACTAGTAACAGGATTAGATTACCTGCAGTCCTTAGCCATAGCAGCATTAGCCTTGGCAGTAACAGTACTGCTAAAAGAGGCTTAAACCAGAATAGAATTAGCATGAGAATAAGAATTTAGTGATTAATTGTCATTGTTGACACACCACAGCACACAGTGCACAATTCAGCGCCCGGGGAGCAGTGCTTGGGGGCGGTACCTTGCTCAGGGTACCTCAGTGGTGCCTTGCTGGTCGGGGATTCGAACCTGCAATCTTTCACTTACAAGTGCGCTTCCCTAACCATCAAGCCACCACTGCCCTCATTCAGCAGGAGAGGCTGCAGTGAGCAGCAAACCCGGGCTGTGTGGTACCTGGGGTCCTTCTGGATGCTGTCTATGGAGGGGGAGCGTGTGGTCCCTCCGTCCACCGTCAGGACCCCGCGGGCGTAGCTGGGCTCCGCGTGCCGGTACTGTGTGGCGCGATACGGCTCAGAGTAGCTGCCGGCCGAGCTCAGGGCGTAGCTGCTTCGCTGGTACTTGGCGCTGCCTCGCAGGCTGGATCCCCTCTGCAGGACGGCCGGGCCTGGGGGGGCAGGGGCTGTCAGTCAGTAGCCGCTGATGCCGCAAGAGGACGTCATGACCCCAAATGAATGGGCCCTTCCCTACCCCAGCCTGTGTCACGCAGTTCCGTATGCCATTCCAAACGTTCCCCCTTTCTGAGCTGGAGGACCGGCGAGGGGGCGGAGCCTGAATGTCACTGTGGCACGTCGGCCATCTGCATGCCAGTGTAAGGGAGGGAAAATCTGCCATGGGGGCAGCGTTCCCGGTTCCAGAAACAGAACGTAGGGTCTGTTTCCATACCGTGTTCCAGCCCTCCACCTAGACAACCGTATTTTTAATGACCCTCAGATCAGCGAAGCCCAATCGTGTACCAGCTGCTAATCATAGAAGAGGGCAAAAAAAAAATTTAAGTTAAAAATGAATTTCACAAAAAGTGTTTGGGACTGAAACTGGACTTCTTGGGTCTGGTGACTGCGGCCTGTCCGATTTTCTGCCGCGTCATGTGTGGATCTGTGGATTTGTGGAACTGCACCGGGACATCCTGGGGGAGGTGGGCAGGGGGGGCATCGATGGAATTCTATAATCCTGAAGCTTCCTGTAAGGGCTCCCCACGGCCCCTCCCTCATCCGTCTTCAACTTATTACTCTGACACTCCAATAATTGACTTTCTTCCCCCGGGGAGTACAAGCTCTCATTGGCTACTGTCTCCCATCTATGCTATGTGAGCCCCCGGCTCATCGCCCCCACCCCCCCCCAATCGCCCCCACCCCCTCCCCTGCCCTGGCTGAAAAGGCCATTCAGAGTTACACGTAGAACTCCCGGGGGCTCAAGGGTCTCAGGGCAAACACGTACCCAGAGTACCTGTCTGGGGGGGGGCGGGGTCTGACTGGCATACCTGGTCCCGTCCTGTAGATGGAGCCGTTGCCGGGGCTGTGGTATACGGGGCTGTGGAAGGCCTGGTCCTCGTAGATGGGCACGATGTGGCGGTCGGGGGACACAGCTGAGCGTAATTCCAGTCCCAGCGGGCTCTGCTGGCTAGAGTAGGAGCTCTGGAGGCCTTGAGGAGGGGAGGGGGGGTACAAGGATCCGGGGTCAGAGGTTAGAAGGGGGACATCACGGATATAAAGCTGCATGCTAGGTCAATGGTAACCATGACAATGTGCAGGTGGACAGATGGACGAACAACAACAAAAATTAGAATTACAATGATCACATAAGCAAAGGCCACAGGACAGGCAGGTATGAAAAATGAACAAAGGAGTAAAAGCAGAACCAAAGGCTTTCTGGGCTGGTTAAAGCGATGGCAGCTGAGGACACGCTGCGATGCCGCCTGATGGTGACGGTTTGGCGTTCGGCCTCGCGGTCTGACCCAAAGACAGGGGCCACGGAGTCGTGCCAGAAGCCGGCACCCTTTTCGCCGGTACGTCACTGAGGACGTCATTGCTGCGGCATTCTCACAAACGCCAGCGATGGGGTCCATGCCAGAACCAAAAGCAGCACGTCGGTGGGGCGGTACCAGAAGATCTGGCCAGAACCCCCACCTGACTGGCAGAGCGCCATGGCACGTGGGGGCCGCTCGGGGACACGGTCTCGCATGGGCAGGAAGCGAGCCTGTCACACGGCTGACCTCACAGACACACGGCTGACCTCACAGACACCCCGCCTCCCTTGCTGTGGAGTCAAATATACAGACAGCTTCCAGAGTCTGTACGCGACCTCCTCTGCGGGTCTGACACCTCAAGGGCACACGGAAGAGAGCCCCTCCCACAGCAAGAGTCACGACTCCATGCAAAACGGACAGAAGAATCGGCGTCAGAATCCTTCCCCGCACCATCCTGCGACTTCATTTAAAAAAAAAAAAAAAAAACACTTTTTATATCCCTAAATAAAGAGGGGAAGATGGCGTGACATCAGTGTGAAGCTGGTGACAGCACACGGCCGTGGGAGGTCCTGACATCCGCGCAGCTTTTCCGGTCCATGTCGGGGGGGGTTGACCTTCGAGTCAGAAGCAGTAACAAACCTGGAGGACACATCCGTGCAGATATAAGGCAGAGGAGGTGGGGGCGGGCGGAGCCGGTCTGCGTGGGGGCGCCGGGGGGGCTAGCAGGGCGGTCACCCTCCACGTATTTTAGGAGGAATATAGTTTTATATTCCAGCTTTTCATTTTGAATTTGAATAAAATTATAGCATTGAAGCATGTTTTTTTTTTCCTTTGTTGAAAGTCAAATTGAACAGGCTGTGGAAATTACCACAGGGGAGAGGGGGGGGGATTTAAAATCATCAAAAACAGAAAATAAAAATAACTTGCTGCTTTGGAGAGTGTATGTGACAGAGAAGGGCGTAGTGCGGGTGTGGGCGTGGCCCTCGCTCCTCTGGGCACCTTGGGCTTGCTGGTTTGTCACCTTGAGCGAATAATTAAACATGCCGGAGTAATGAAATAAATAAAATTCATAAATCAAATTAAGTTCGAACTGAAAGTGTAGCACAGTCTTAAGGAGAGGTGACCGTTCGGTGACTCTGAAGCGAGCAGCCTGCCGCCTGATTACAGGACCCTACATGTCATGTTCCAAAAACAGCCAACCACCAGCCAATCAGAAAGCTGCTCTGAAGGTCACATGACCGGAACAGCACTGGAGCACAGTCTGACTGAACTGGCCAACCGCTCTCAGAGCCACCGATTAAGATGACTTATCTATCCTACCATTCATCAGTCACCGATTCAGATGATTTATCCATCCCATCCATCCATCCATGATTAAGTCAGCCTTCCTTGTCCAGCAGGAGCCTAATCAGAGTTTATGGAATGTTGCTGGTAAACTGCCATATTCTCCACAGTCACATCAGGCTGCACAGTGTTTCACGGCAAAGCCTTTGATTTTGTTTTCACAAGTATAAATGATTCAATGGAAAAACACCTAAAAACACAGATGAACAGACATAATACTCCAGTGAAATGTATTCATGCTCCTATTAAACCCACAGCAGCCTGCTCTCATGTGACTGGGCAGAGGTACACGTGCACACACCCAATCAGAAAGATGCTTAAAATACCCTCTGACAATGAACATGGCACTACACACACACACACACACACACACACACACTGCAGTGATGCACACACACTCTCACTCTCTGGGGAATCACCTTGCACCTCATCCATCAGGGCGTCTGTAGTGTCCCGTAAGCCATTAAGGAAAAATGTGCTGTCAGCAATTAACCAATCAGGAGACTTTTCCACTGGAAGAGGTTGCGTCGGGGGGTGGGGCCCAGCGCCAGCTGGAAGACCTGGATCTGGATTATTTGCAGACGCTGCATGCCGGGGTGAGAAGCACCAGCAGGAGACACCACCAATCAGACGGGCTGCCTCATTAATATTAATGACCCTAATACATCACCACCGGCAAGGCAAAGACACCAACTGGAGAATAAAACGTGACCCCCCCCCCCCCCCCGCCCCAGTCTCCCATCCCATGCCAGGTCCTTCAAAGGAGGAAGTGATTCTTTGACTTAAAAGATGAAAATAATGGACATAACACACATGCCGACAAGCTCCCGGCGACGCTGCACACCTCGCATGCTTTGCGACAGGGTGAGGACGACAGCGGTACGGCAAAGCCCCGATGCCCACGCTGACCGCGGGCAGACACACCCAGCCACACCAAAATGCGACAACATTACGCTGTCATTTCATAAAGGGGGCATAAGCACAGAAACTAAGGAATGGGACAAACCCACAGTCGGGAAGCCAATAGGATGTTAGGACTGCGCATCGAGAAAGCAAATCCACCAATCGGGGCTTGGCACTGACATTGGAGAAAGGAACGCTGCCAATAAGAATGTAACGTCGCTGTGTCAAACCAACACAAAAAGGCCAATATGACAAACTGCTGCATGAAGCCACCAATCAGAGAGCAGAGACTGGAGCCTTTCACACATGTGGCCCTTACTGTGTGACATATCAGGGGCATTCTGTGACCTTGGCCAAAGCAGCTACTGCCGTATTAAAGCCTCCCTCTAGGTTAAATTCAGAGAGCCGCGGGTCCTGAGGACCACTTACGTCACAGCAGATCAGCAGCCCCTGGGTGACAACAGGGACGTCAGATGGCAAACTCTGCGGCCCACGAAGCCCCGCCCTCCCCAGCTGACTCTCCTGTCTTTCCACATTAGAGTTACTAGGTGCATCTGCTCAGCCCTGCACACAGATTTCAGTGTAGATAACAGCTATCTGTATAATAAACATCTGGTTTAAAGGGTCCAACAGAAGCGCCCAGGCAGAAACATCTGATCACAAGTTCAAAAGATCCCTAGCTGAGCTGGTAATTGAAGCAGGCCACTGGTGTCTGGGTAAAGCAAAGCCCCTCCTGCAGGGGGAGCCGTCGGACCGACCTGCGAGGCTGTCAGGGCGTGTCAGGATCAGCCTGTCGTAGACGTCGTAGGCAGGCTGGCCGTAGGGGTCGGCGTCACGGTGCAGTGCGGGCCGGGACAGCGTGGAGCTGTAGTGCTGGGGCATGGCCGTCATGCCGGCCCTGGGTGGCGAGGACGCGTGACCGGCGCTGCCGGGCCGGGAGCCGGCGGAGCACATGCGGCGCAGGACACCCGGCGAGCTGCGCTGGCCCTGGCAGGGCAGCGTGGTGCTGGAGTAGGCGGCGGCGGACGGGCCCCGTGACTCGGGCAGGGCTGGGCCTGCATAGCCCCGCAGAGAGCCCCGTGACGGGGACGCACATGTGCCATAGGAGGGGGACTGGGCGCGGGACGGCACTGAGCACACCCTGCGCATGGCCCGACCCGGTGCCGTGGGGAGGGTCATGGGGGTCTGTGGGGGTACAGGGGAGAGAGGGAGGAGAGGAGAGGAGAGAGAGGGGATAGAGAGATAGAGGGAGGAGAGGGCAAAGAGAGAGAAAATGAGACAGAAGAGAGATGGAGGAGAGTGGGGGAGGGGAAGGAGATACAAGGGGAGAAAGAGGGGAGCGAGGGAGGAGAGGGGAAAATGAGAGAACAAGAGGGAAAAAAAGGGACAGAGAGGAGGACGAGAGAAAAGGAGAGGGAGGGGAGGGGGAGAGAGAAAAATAAGAGAGGGGAGAATGAGAGGGAGTGGAGGAGCAGAGGGGAGAGAGGAATGAAAGGGAGGGAGGAGAGTAGAGAGGGCAGAGGGTAAAGAAAAAGAGGGGAGAGGAAAAGGAGGAGAGTAGAGATGAAGGAGGGACAGAAGAGGAGAAGAACAAGAGAGGGGAGAGAAGAGAGGGAGTGAACAGGTAAAGAAAAAGAAGGGAAAAGGAGAAAGAGGAATGGAATGAGTGAGAGGAGAGAGGGAAGAAGTAGAAATATGAGAAAGGAATGAATGAGGGAGGAGAGCAAGAGAAGGAGAGGTGTGGAAAGAACAACAAAGGAAGGAGAGGAAAGAGTTCTCAGCTTAGTTCCCAATCTCATTTATTCATCTAAAAGGAATCATCCATCCATCCACCCACGTACCCCTTATCCTGGGGTTGTGTGGTAAAAAATTAACCAGGTTTATGAAAATACATCCATTCAGAGGCCAATACCAATTACTCTATCAGACCTACCCAGTTTGTTTATGATACAAAACGATGACATCACTTCATAAGGCTACTTCCTACAGACCTTTGAACCCCCAGGGCCAGCTGCTGACAGACTGGTGTCACTCTCTCCTTCCCTGATTGTGCCCGCCCCTCAGTGGTACCTGAACGGAGGCCTGCCCCTCAGCCCTGGCACTCCTGGAGTGGGAGGAGTTTCCACCGAGCCCCGGGTACGAATGTTGGGCTCTCATCTCCGCCTTTCCCTGGATCTGCCCACCATAGTAGCTGCCGGCCTCTTGGTAACCGCTGTCCGCATACGAGTTCATCTGGGCGGAGCTGCAGGAGTTCCCAGCGAACCCTGGGAGAGGAGGAAGGGGCGGAGTCAGACACACGCCTACACGTGCTACACTGCTGAGGAGCAGGCCCCGCCCAGGTCACATGGGGGGGTGGGGGTCGGGCCCTCACTTTCAGCCAGCGAGGGCTGTTCGGGGGAGTACGAGGGCACCACCTCCTGGTCACCGCGCAGGTGGAATGGCGGGGACTGGGACCCGTCCATCACACGGGATTTGGTCTCTCCTGCTATTGAAGCGTCTGTGGCGAAAGTGAAAAACGGGTAGTTAAGGAAGGAATTACTTATAACACGCTAGTTACCTGGTCAAAAAGGACACTGTCAGCACTCTACCAATCAGACGACAATGTCTTACAGACTAATTTCATGCAAATACACTGACCTGTTCCAAACCATGAATTATTCATAAAAAAAAATTGCACTGAAAACATTGTCCCAGGAATTAATCAGGATAAGTTAGACAAACAGCTTGTCTCCGTGAGACAAAATGCAATCCCTGCGGGAAGCGGAGACGGGCCCAGTGTGAGAGAGATGGGGTCCATTTAAAGGGACGTGTTCCGTGTTAAAGGTGCTCCCAGCAGGCCGTCTGAGCGCGACCCACTGGACACGGGCGTTGGTGGCGCAGGACGGTGACAGATTGGCCCCTTTCTCTGGGCCTCTGGCATCTCCACTGGGGGGAGACGCCAGGGGGTCCCTTTCAGAAAGCCAGCTTTTTCATCAAAATTTTACTACAAATATCACATTTTCAACACCACATTATACATGCTAATAAAACAAAAACAAAACAAACAGAAACAGAATAAATCCAGACTTAAGCAAAAAATATCCGAGGTACATAGAATTTATGTACTATTTATGTATTATTTACATATTAGACTTGTTTTAATATAAAGTGGTCAAATGACCAAAGGGGCCGCCCCACCCCCGTTTAAAGGGATGCAGGGAGCCTCTGAACGTGGCGACTAAACCAGACTGGTTCTCTTAACGGAGTGCCAGGATTGGCCAAAGGGGATGATTATGACCCCTGCCCCCCTCCCCAGGAGAATATATTACGACGACGACTCATGAATGGCAGCACGAGTAGTCACTGCGTGATCGATGGACCGATGAGGGTGTGTCACTATCACGGCACCTCGCACACACACCTCCACAAACGCCCCCCCACCCACCACCACCCGCAGTATTGCATCCTTGCCCTAATAGACAAACAGGTGAGCCAGGGGGGGGCTCATCCACACGGGTTAATGATCACCTTTCAGGAGGCAGACAGTAACGATCGACCGTCAGGCCGTTAAGATGGCCGGTGCCTGCCTTCCATCAGCTGCCCCCCCCACCCCCAACCCCACCCCCACATGAGAGCTGTAAAATACGCAGGGGAGCACACTACCTGTGGATCTCCAGGGGGACGACTTCTCTGACGAGCTGTGGGAACAGAGGAGGACGGGTTAGTGCAAGGCCAGACCGGGCACCATCCTGTCACGGTGGGGACAAATGTTGAGGCAGGAGGACTGGCTACAGGGACAAGGAGACCGGAGAGTCGGTTCCAAATGTTCCTGCACACCAGTACAGCTTGGCATTTCGTATTCGGCCGGCTCACCAAATGCCTGCATGTCTGACAGTCTAATTATGCCTTTCGGGCGAATCACATGCAAAGCAAACAAAGGAAACCACGCTGAACATGTCGAGCAGCGCGCTTCTGGGAACAAGGCATTCCCCAGCGTTTAATAACGAGCAGAAGCGAAAGCTACTGAACAGCAGAGTGCCATCTTCCCAAGGACACACATCCTGACCGCACGCCCCAGGGCGTGGCATCGCAGCATATTTCCACGTTCGTGGGAGGGACGAGGACCCTGGGCTGCGAGCTTGACTGGCGAATCAGCTTTCAGACAAGCAAAGGTCAAAGGTCACAGTGACCAAACAAGCTAGCGAGTCCAAAGGTTGCCAGTAACCACTGTGTGTGTGTGTGTGTGTGTGTGTGTGTGTGTGTGTGTGGGGGGGGGGGGGGGAGTTAAAAAAATCTGGGAACAAAGTGTACAAAAAAATAAGCTTCTAGGTAACCACCCTAAAATGATTTGCTGGGGGTGGGGGATGTGCTCACGTTTGATTCCAAAGTGATGAAGAGAAACAACCCCAGTGCTCCAACTAAGCTCAGGGCCTCAGTGCTCCAACTAAGCTCAGGGCCTCAGTGCTCCAACTAAGCTCAGGGCCTCAGTGCTCCAACTAAGCTCAGGGCCTCTGAGACAGGAAAGGAGACGGCAGTTGCAGCCGTTGCGTTTCCCCGGGTATACTCATGGTTGGCCAGCCGGAGGCGTGCACCTGCTCTCCCTTCACTGCCAGCCACGCCTCTCAATCCGGCGGAGGGCCAGAGTGGCCGGCGTGAGAGAGACTGCTGGGAGGAAGGGCGACGCGGGGGAAAGGCAATCAAGATGAGAGCCCTGGGAGAGAGCTGTGTTTCTCCACCCCGCCCTCCAGGGGGCACAAATCCTCAGGCTCATACCCAATGACACTGAATTTCATCGAACCAGAAAATTTGTGGTACAATAAATAGTCAGCCGGCCTATTTTTTTCTTTTGCGTATGAGCTTGTTAGACACAAACACCCTTAGTATATTCTACAGTAATCAGTATTTATTTACTCTGCAATCTCAATTAGTGACTTAGCTGACATGTTAATCAACGCAATGCTGCCCCATGAATTTTCAAAGGTGTAAATCAGGCTGTGACTCTCCCATCCACCAGCACAGCGCAGAGCGGCTAAACGCCGTCACTCCATCTCCTTCGTTGTCAGGACAACCATGTAAATTACTCTAAGCACGTCGGGTAAAGGGGAAACACACAAAGGCTTACAAAGCCCTCCTGGTGGATGCCCTGTCCAATATTGCCCCAGCTCCTTTCCCAGTGGGGGGGGTCATTTCCACTCAGCACTAATGCCCTGGCTGTACTGCAGTGCTTGTCGCTGGTACGCTGCACACAGCCGCGGGGTCATAAAGGCAGAGCCACCCAGAATGCCGATGGGGCACCGCATAGACAGGGGTCTCGGCTCGGCGACAGAGTCAGGGCGAGTCACCGACGAGGTGCCTCAGAGCACCGCCTCTGTCACGAGACACGTGATGCGTGTATCCGTCGTCAACCGCGGCGGGAAGACTACGACGATTCTACAGCCCCCGCCCCCCCCTCCCAGTACCCCCAAAATGCTACTGTCCCCATGCTCCAAGCCCAACACTCAGTGAGGGGGCAGAGAACATCCGGACAACATGAAATTCAGCGCTAAGGCCACAGCTTGGTCAAAATTTCCAGGTCGATATAAAACTGGGGTGTGGGGTCAGAAAAAAACAGGAAGTGGCCTCTCTTCGCCTGACAGGGAGAGAGTATGGCACCCTGAGGGCCCGTAATCAGCCCCCTCTCAGCAGTACTGGGCCAGGAGAGACCAGCCACTAATCCTAATTACAGCTGTGATGCACGGCTCCAGAGCAGCAGTAAAAATAAAGCAAACTCTTTAGCCCACGGTGGGGAGTCTGTGGCCATTAAGGGGGCCCTGACTCCGCATGGCTCTGAGGGCCTGGGTCTCTCTCACTCACGCACGCGCGCACACACAGATAGAGACAGACACACATACGCACACACACACACACACGCACGCAAGCACACCAGCTTATTCATAATAAAGGCCCCCACTGGGGGCTGGGGGACAGTGTTGAGAAGCCCAGTGAGGAGCAGATTCATTCATTTGTGCCTTATTATGAAAGCCAGAGCGATAGATTGGGTGGGGGATTCCTGAGGGGCCACGCTGGCTGGGGGCCGGGGGACAAGGGTCGGGAAAAGTGAGAATTGCACATTATAGCTTACTGGGAGGGGTCACCAGCATTTACCAGGGGGTTGGGGGCATGATCCAGGCTGAATGGAAGGGAAATAAATACCCCCCTCCCAACAAATTTTACTGCTGGCACCCCCACCCAAGTTTGACAAATATTTACCAACGTCACCCCACCTCCCACACTAAAATATACCAGTCTGGAGTGTGACATTATCAGTCTGAGACTCAGTCCCACTCTGGCCCTGCTTTTTACCCATAAGGCTGGGGGGGAGGGGCACTGGAGAAATATCACCCCAGGCTGTGCCCCCCCCCCAAAGTGCAGGAGGGACTCTAAGGGCACTTTTCCACCGCACAGAGTACTGAACATTTGGTTCTTTCCCATTTCCATTGACTTCCCATAGGGCACCAGTACCGAAGGTTCCAAACCAGCTAAGGTACTACACTGGTACTTCAATTCTGTGGGTGGGACTTGAAACAATGTCTTTGTTGATTGGTTATGCAAACAGCCTGCCTCTGAAACACAATACAACCACCATCTTAGAAAAAAAAGTTTTAAACGAAAACAAGGAGAAACGAAGTAAAATAAATAAATAAATAATAATAATAATTGCAATCTGGTTGGAAGAACAGTTTAATATACTTGGACAGCACTGTGATTTTGTTGGGGTATTATATTTGGAGTATTTATAAAGCATTATATTTGTATTTATAAAGCATTATGTATGGGGTATTTTTCAAACAAACAGGAGTTAATGAATCTCACAAACCCATCAAGGAGAGATTTAAACAGCAAGGATGAAAATGATTATGACTGATTAAGAGAACGAATGCAGCGCTCATACAAAAGCAGCGATAAAAACAGAGATAAACTTTAAAAAGAATAATCATTAAAATTGCAAAGCTAAGGGTTTTTTCTATGANACAAACCCATCAAGGAGAGATTTAAACAGCAAGGATGAAAATGATTATGACTGATTAAGAGAACGAATGCAGCGCTCATACAAAAGCAGCGATAATATATCAGATCATCTATAAAAAGAATAATCATTAAAATTGCAAAGCTAAGGGTTTTTTCTATGAAAGCGTAAAATCCTTTAGTGAAAACTAAACTTCCTCTGCTACTGTATAATGTCCGCACAGAATCCAAGGTAAGCCTGCTCTTAATCTAGCTGACTAACGATGTGAGAATTGAACGTGCATGCAACATTGGTATTAATATCGCACATCGTCCAACCTTATAACACATTACAGGCACTTTTCAAATTTAGTACAAAATACCCCCTTGCGCCGTGAAGTCATTCAGCGCCGGTACCAGTTTTTACACCAGTGGAAAATCTTGAAGTACCATACTTTTGGTGCTTTTCTGAAGTAAGCTAAAAGGTGGAAAGGTGCCCTGACAAGGGAGTGTAGCTCCCACCAGCCCCCACCCCACTGAGGCAGCGGGATATCCCCCTCTCCTCCCCAGGACTGACACCCGTAGCAATAATGCTGGCTTGCTGGCCTGGGGGGTGGGGGGTGGTCGTAGTAACGATTTATCCCTGTGCTCAACACTTTGGGCATTTAAGCACCCTATGGCCTACAGGGTCTCTGTGACACATCAGACTGTGCCAGGAGCTGCACCGTGATGTCATAAACAGGGGACGGTGGCTGGGTCCGAAAATGCATACTTACACGGTACACACTGAATTTAGTCGGAAATTTGACTGTTAAAGCTGTCCGTGCTGTATGTATAGATGAGAACAATATGCATGCACTGAGACGCATGGCGGTCGGCATCCTGAAAAAATTTCTGACCGAGCAACATTCGCAGTGTCTGGTTGCAGTTCC